AGAATGAAAACCTGACAGTTGCAAAACTCACAGCTGGAAAAAAGTAGTTGTTATGGAAAGTTTTCAGTTTGCCCCTGGACTGGTCGCGGAGTGACCACAGCAAGCTCTTTTAGACCAGGAGGAGAACTGTGCTGTGAGGACCTGTCTCTAAGGGGAGCACCCTGGCCACATCAGGGTCTGGCCACTCTGGGATTTTCCTGGGGAAGAACTTCTTGGCCATTTAGGACTTTCAAATAATAATCTTCAAGAACTTGACAGAGAATAGAGGGGAAAAAATGGCCCTTTGGCCCTTTAGCATGGTTGCCTCATCAACAGGACTGGCTTTAGGGGCTAACTACAAGGTCAGCTGGTTGGGGTGGCTGCAAAGGGAAAGGTTAGAAGGCAGGTTAGAAGCTGATGTGTGCCTATGGATGGGTAAGTGACAACTTTGAGCTAGAGCTTAAGGTGATGTTGAGTCTTTAAATCATCCGTGAAACTCAGGGGAGGGAGGAGAAGAGATTGCAGAGCTTCTCAGGCTGCTACCACCATCACTGGTTCATCTCCCAACACTGCAGGGACTGTTGCATTCCCTCTCAAGTCTCCTGCGGGCTCCAGGCTACCCCTACAGATAGCAGCCCAAGGCATCCACAGGGGTGGTAAAATAAACTAATTTTATTACCTGCTCATGGCCTCTGTGACGTTGAGTGAACTCCAAAATCCTTGGTGTGTTTCTAGTTTTTCATGCAGCGTGTTTACATTTTGCAGCTGGCTGGTTGGCCACGAGGAGAACAAGCAAAAAACAGATGTGCACTACCGGTCTATGGGAGGAGAGGGCAACTTCAACTGGAGATTCATCTTCCCCTTTGACTACCTCCCGGCTGAGCAAATGTGTTACATCGCAAAAAAGGTGAGTGTCCCTGCACAGACGTTTCTACCTTCTCATAGTGACTCTGGGGTGAAATGCGCTGCATGATCTAAGACCTGCACAACTGCAGCACCAATGGAGCTACGCAAGGCTCAGCCTTACATTTGTGTTATTTGAAACACAAAGCTGTGGACAGGTGGGGAAATTGGTTTAAAAAAATCCACATTTTGAATACAACATTTGTGGGGTCAGAATTAGAGGTGGCTTTGTGTAAAGAGCCTGGAGAGACTGACCCCCCAGGAAAGACTCCTCTGGACTGGAGGCAGCTGAATATTGGTGCAGTGGTGTCAAAGTGCTTTCCTGGTTGCATGGGACTTCCAAGATGCCTAATCAACAACAGGGTTACTCCAAGGATGGAGATGGCATTTCCATGGGGATGGTTAGGTATGCACCTCTGGTCTCCAGCATAGCGTAATGGGCATTGTGCTGTACAATAACTTCCCAGAAGGGCTAAAGAGGGGTGAAAGGAAGGAGCTGCCTCCAAGTGCCTGAAGGGGTAAGCAGGAGGGGCATGTAGGGGAACATGGGTTGGGATGTACCATTGATGCAGGGATGGGAAGAAAAGTTTTGGTTTGGGATTCAGGGTGAAGATGCCTTTGGTCTAGTAAGAGAGCGGTGTACTCGGTTGGGGAGTTAAAAGTGGATGTGGTTTTGGCCCCCTCATTCCTACATCTGTAGTTGGCTATTGCTTTTGGTGTCCCTTAGATAAGCTAGGGCAACGTGATGATCAGATGTGGACTGGGAGTTGCACAGAGGGAAGGAAACAGGGATGGAGCTGGGGTGCGTATGTGGAAAAACGCTGGTGAAAATTGGACTGGCTCTCACGGAACGCTTTAGGGGAGGGAGATCTATTCACTTAAATTTCCTGCTCATCACCTGGAGATTAAGAGGAGTATTGTGGGGTCTCTGTGTCTGTGTGGACAGCAGGGACAACCCCTGCTTTTGAGACTTGGTCCTGTTTTGCGGCACCTCCCTGAAAGCTCAAACCCCTTCAGCCACCCAACCCTGAGTCTTCGTCCCTGCTCCCTGCCTTGCCGCTGTGAACTCAACCTCGGTGTTCGTTTGAATACAGACACCTCGTTGCAGTGGGACCATCTGCATCCACAAAGCTCACCTGGGACACCCATCCCAGCTTGTTCTGTGGGGCCAGCAAGGTCCCAGCACAGCCTGGATTGGAACTGGCACTTTGGCAGGGAAGATGCTGAGCAAATTCCCCATCCCTCGAGCCAGACGATCCCCACGAGGAGGCCTAGCTTCAAAATGAGTCGCTGGATGGTTAAACTGATTGACAGAATCATAGCTGTACCCATTTCACGCTTCATGTTAAACAAATCAAAAGTACAGTGTGTACTACATTCAATTATCCCCCTTTGAAAAAGCAAAGACCCCCCTATAAACCGTTTAAGAAAATACATCCCACTGTGCTGATATTGATTCTTCTCCGACCACATGTCTGCCAACACTGTATCAGAAAATAAACAGCTTGTAAAACCTCTCTGTAAAGGAAAAAATAATGAATGAAAAGCCATGCTTTGTATTTGTGGGACACATTCCGCTCTGGCAATTTTTGATCTCGCCATGTGCTGTTTGAACTCCAGGTTCATTACTGCTGCTGTAAAAGCCCATGCACCGAACTTTAAACGCAGGCGATGGAAAGTGGAATTTAAATCAAAACGGTCAGATGGCAAATTCTGAGCTGCTAAAAGCCACCTGCGCCCAGCCTTGCTGGTGTTGGCCCTTGGAGAGAGCGCTGCTGGGAGGAAAGCAGCTTTCAATTTGCTCTCCTTTGTTTGCTCCACTCACCTCCTTGCAGACTGGAGCTCCCTTTAGCATTGCAGGATGGACTGCGGGAATGGGACATCCCAACCCAGATTGCAAATATTCTCCCAAAAGAGCAAGGACGCCTCTGGGCAGCAGGGTCTCCGCGATGTTTAGTTCTGGTGTGCACGTCTGGGGGGATCTGGGAGCCTGCAAACCCGGGGAAAACCCAGGTGCCACGTGGTGGAACCGGACCCTGAAGCCTCGGGATGGCCAGCGGTAGCCAGGATTGTTTAATCCTTGCCGCAGCACTGGAAGTTTTGGGAACTTTATCTCCAAAGCTTCAAAGCACTGGGATTGCTTGGGGTTTTGAGGCTTCAGTCTTCCCACGGGACACCTCAAGGGAAAGCAGGAGCCTGTAAATCCTGTGAGCATCAATTCAACTTATAGATTGGAAGTGTAGGCCCTTATTCCTGCTTTTCTAAACATTTTAACCATTTCAGAATGTTTTTCCATCCATACCTTCTCTTGCTGCAGTAATGTTATAAGGATCTTGCTTCTCCTTCTGAGAAAGGAATTTACCCCATTCTGAATTTCAAAAAAATCCCTAAGAAAGAAGAAGTCCATCTTTGGGACAGCTCGTCTGAAAATATGTAAATGCATGTTTCTTTAACATCCTCTCTCGGCATTTATTCAGAATTTCCTTCTTCAGTTCCCGCTTCTTTTTGTGCCATCTTTTTCCAGCAGCCAAGGACAAGTCAAGCCGTGTCATTCGCATGGCCACAGCGTGCTTGCAGCTTGCCGAGTCCTGCAAGAAGACAGTTTCTTAGGCTGCAAACCATGCAGTCGTTTTAGTGAAAGGGTCAATACACATCGCGTGTTGGAGCGCTGTTGTTTCACAGGGGGATCTAGGCTAGAAAGGTAGATTCAGCGCCCCTGACATGTTTGCATGAAATTGCATATTGACTTAAGTAGGGGAGGAACAGACAGGTCCAGGTCCCAGATGAGCCAGCCAGCAGAGAGAAGAGCAGATGTCTGCAGGGTTTAAACTTTAGATCCCCAGGTCTAAGCCTGGCAGGTCTTGACTCTTGCAGACAATGTTATCAGATGGTCATGGTACAACCAGAGTCTATCGAGAGCAATGCCGAGATAGGCTGGATGTGGATCACGTTTCACTGGGCACCCAGTCAGAGAGGCGCTCGGCTCCCATGCCTCGCAGGCGCTGTGGAGGTGGAAAATGCATGAAATTGATTTTGAAATGTTCAGCTTCAAGTGCCAATTACAGCGGTAGCTGAATATAGCTGCCAAATCTGAGTTCTAGATGTCCTCTAGGGCAGAAAAAGCTTGACACTGGATGTCTGAGCAAATGTCATCTGCATAAATGAACATTCAGGGTAGAATTTCAAGAGCATCTCAATATACGAGTTAAAAACTATTGGTGCTTGAGTGGACCTGGAAATAAACCACTAAGCTGGAGCTTCCAAGACCTGGCTGGGTGGTTCATATACCATCTGAAAAGTGTTGCATAAAAGAAATTCCAGGAGATGAACATAATGAGTATGGGAGCATTGTTGGCAATTTCAAATCCATGTCATGCCATGTCATTGGCAGAAACCAGACCAAGGAACATAGCTGTTGTCTTCATACTTGTTCTGCTACTAGACTTCGGTGTTAGGTGTCAACAAGAAAATGAAGTATTGATGCCAGAACACAAAATATTCTGTTTTGCAAAGACAAAGAGAACCATTGGAAGAGGACCCATCCCACTGCTGTAGAAGAAACTGCAAGCAACTGTCTGGTTTATTCAGGGGGAAGCTTGGGGCAGCTGTGTTGAGGCTCTTTTTCAAGGAGCTCTTACATTCATTTCTTCCACCTTGTGCTCTCAACTAAAGGGGCCCATCCAAGTTTTAAGCAGATTAATTGCAACCTACCTGGGCACAAAACCACACTGGCTTTGAGCTGGAGGTGTTTGGACGTCTGGCATCCGGCAGTGGTGGGTGCATGCTGCTCGCATGGCTAGAAGTAGGTGGTCCTATGGAATAGTCCTAGGAATAACCCTGTGGCTGTGAGGTATCGGTGATGCTTCCACATATCTCTTTGAATAATTGAGACCCTGTTTCTGCAAGGTGCAGCTGAAGCCTCTGAGTTTGCTGGCTCTGGCATTGAATATAACAACAAACCTGACATTTGGAAGCGTTTTTTCTATAACCGATCTGCTGGTGGCATCCCAGAAATCATACTAGAGATAGGTCTTCAGGAGCGATATGAGAAAGAGGGAGGTTTGGGGTCTTAAACCCACCTAGAGAGAAAAGTGCAAAGGCATTTGAGGGAAAAGCAGGGAAGAAGGGGCTGTAACTCACAGCTTGTTTTGTTCTATTGCTGAGTAGAGCCAAGAATAAATTCTTCCCTCCCTGGCGTTGAGGCTTTCCCAGCTCCATCTGGTTTCATCGATTCTGGTTACTTTGTCTGCAAATTCATTACAGTGTCCTGACATCTTCCTGGTACTGACAGTTCCGACCTGCAACGGGCCAGACCCTCACCTGGGGCAGATCAGCTGGTGCATTCCTCTGCGCCCAGCAGATTCGCACCAGCTGGGAACGAGGAGCCAGTGCCAGTGGTGGGGCGCGTGGGGACGTCCCTGTTGGCCATTGATTTTGCATGGGGGAGGCTCATGCCGTGCAGTGACGGCTCGTAGTGCGATGCTCTAAATCAGCTGAGGGCTCGTGGGCAGCCTGGGCTCGGTGTATTTGTCAGACAGGGCAAGAGTTTACCCTGGAGGTAAGCGTGTGGCCTCTCCGTTGTTTAATTTTTATAAAAAAAATAGCCACGTGTGGGAGGTTTCTGCAACTGGGTCCCTGTGTCATCCCCTTGTTCTGTTACGGTCGTTGCCGAATCTCCAGGGTGTACGAAGAAATCTCTGTGCTCCAGTTGGTTTTAGTTTGAGATTTTGAGTATCAAGCACTGATTTTTGTTTAAAACGGTTAATATTTTATTAGATTGAAATTTTCATTCCTCTTTGGTGTCGGAAAGCTAAAAAAAGGCTATTGCCTGTTAATTTTGGACTTTTTCCTCTCCCGTTTCCTGTCCTTTATCGTGTCCTTCCCTGTTTTTCTTGGTGACATCAGAAACCAAAGCAAAACACAAAATGTTCCTTTTCCTTCCACATTTAGCCAAAATGCAACATTTTGAATGGGCTCCAAGCACAGTTTTTTTCAGAGGAAGGCAGAGTTAGACAAGGCAGTCATATATTATGTATTTTAATGGGACTGCAACAGGCAGATACAACGACACAAGAGTCTTCTGTAGTAGGACAGGGGCAGCAGTCATGACCTGGGATGCACCGGCAGCCTCTGTGATATTCAGACAGGAGCTACTGTTGTGAATTTTGCTTTCCAGTGGATGTGCAGAGAGGGATGAGCAAAGCACGGCTGTGTCAAGACCTGAAGGTCCAACAGTGCTGTTCACAAACTGGCCAGGACTGGGACTGGCTTGGAGCTCCCTAAAGGGCAGTGGGATGGCCCCGTGTCCCTGGAAAAGCCTAATAAACTCTGCCAGAAGGAAAGCATGGGAGGCTGAGAAAATAGCATTGCAGCAAGCAATTCCAGGGACCGAAATGAGAGTATGTGCCCCAAGACCAATATTATGACTATTTGACATTTATGGTGTGGTGACGCCTGGAGGCCTCCTCCAGGTATTGGCAAGGCTGTGCCCGAATGTGCAGCAGAAGCTGTACGCTTGGGATTTTGCTCAGCTGCCATCCTGATCAGGGGAAGATGCAGAAAACCAAGTGCTACGAGACCCGCGATGCAATTGTCAGAGTTGGCAACAGCAGGAAGATCAAAGAGGCGAGTTAGCCCAGTAGAAGTGCACTAATGAGCGGGCTCAGCTGTCTGCGTATTACAAATAGATGAACTGTCCCAGTGGGATGAGGTTCAGATAAGCAGTTTCTCAACACCTTGAAGGATGGCCCTGCAGGACGGCCTGTCCTGGCTCCTGCAGCAGAAGAGACTCCTCTTGGCTGACCTCCGAGGGGGTCTCCTGTGTGGCCAGGGCTCCCCAGTTGCTGTGGGATGAGGGACCTGATGCTCTCCCACATGCACATGCTGAAACGGGACAGGCTTGCTTGGGTGCGAACATGCTGGGGCCTCCCCAGAAAAGCAGGGTTGCTCCTTACTTTGTATTCCATAGCACATAAGCAACTCAGAAGAAATGCAGCCCTGTCAACACTTTCCTAGTGATATGAGCTTATTTTTTTTTCCTGCCTCCCCTGCTGCATTATTCAGGACCGTAAAATATTCATCAGCCTCCCCTCTCTCCCCCCCACACTGCAAAACAAACCCCCAAACAATAATTCAAGCCCCCTTCCTTCCTATGTCTTGCAAAAGGCTAGGAAATAAATTTCTTGCCTTGGGTTGTTTTTATAGTGAACTTTCGTAGCTAGATTTAATCACGGAGGCAAATTTCACACTGCCTTGAAATGGACCCATAAACTTAGCTCAGCATCAAATTCCTCCTTCCCCAGCCTGCCCTTACAGCTCTGCTCTGCCGTGTCCCCAGCTTCACGGGGCTCCGAGGAGGAAAGCTTCGCCACCAGCCAAGCCACATTTGCAGTGTTTTTCCACAAGAAAGGCCAAAGCTGTACAGATCGTGCTAGCGTTGTACGAGCTCCGCATTGCCACCCGGAAAGGGTCGACTCCTGCCTGAGTCATCCTTCATCAGGCAGGGAGTCCCCGGCAAGCCAGGGCATTGCTCTCAGGGGTAGAAGGGGTGCTGGGGAGGCAGGGGGATGCAGCGAGCACCCACGTGGCCAGTGTGTGGGTTTTGTTCGCTGTGAGTGCGGGCAAGTCCGTGGGCGTTGCAATGGGAAGGAGGGAAGGTGGAAACCCAAAGTCCTGTCCGTTTGCCAGCAATTGCATGGTCAGTCCCGGGGGACACTTACCCAGTTGTGTTTTAGTGCGTGGGAGATGACCATAAGGCACCGCAGCACCCGCTGGCTCTGACCTGGGTTCAAGGTGCTCTCCTCCTGCCCCGGGAGAGCTCAGCCGGCACCGCAGGTGGGGAAGGAACCCACCAAGAGGAGGGGGATTGCTGCAGCAGCTCAGAGACTGGGGCAATAATTTGGGTCTCACAACAGCCTGCTGCTTTTCCTGGTTCCTGCTGTTTCCCCATCAGGGCACTCATGGGATTGGGCCTTCCAGCAGGCAGTACCTTTGTCAGGGAGCAGAGCTGCCATCACCGCACCTCCCTTTCAGAGGGGCTGCTCAAGTGCTAGGTTTTGCTCACGTTCGACTCCAGGTGGATGGGATGGTGCAAAGAGAAGGTTCAACATGTGCTTGGAGAGGTGGTTCAACCCAGGCAGCAGTGTAGCGATGCTCTTGGAGCATGGACACGTCTGACGAATGCAGATGTGGTGGAATCAGCCTCTAAGTTGGGGACATCAGTTATCACTGGAGAGGAAGAGGCACCTGTAGGACATTTTTCATCCTCTCCCAAGCTGAGCACAGATGGGGGTGCCTGAATTGCCCCAGCAAGGGGCAATCGGAAGGAGCCCGTGGTGTCTCGCTGTGGTGCACACCATGGGAGATGAGTCTTCCTCCATCTCGCAGACCCCAGATGAACCTTTCCAACCCATGGTGAGGTCATCTGGCTGCCGCCTTCTTTAGGCATGGGTACATGGCTCCTGGGGGCTTTCTCCTCTGGATGACTAACAACCCTTCTGCAATGCAGGACCCAACCAATATATGGGAAAGGGAAGAATCACCATAAGCTCTTTTTTTTTTTCCCTTATTTGCAGTTTTAATTTAAAATGACTTATTAGCTGGGAAAACATGCCCCCCCTTAGATAAACATACATTTTAATACATTGCAATGAGCAGAGGGGGAGAAATGGAAGTTTCCATTGACTTTATTTTATTTTTCTAGATTAGAAAATATTTAAAATGCATAAATAAAATGCTCCATTGCAAAAATGCTGGCGTGTTTTTCCAAAGCAAGGCGGGGAATGGAGCTAAATTGAAATATAACCGTCCAGGGTGATCTCTTAAAGTGAAACCAATTTCAATGGGATTTAAGTACCCACAGTCTCCCTGCTTGAATATTTATGTTCTTATGGAGTGTGACACATTCTTTTTTTCCCCCCCTTTTTTTAATATTGCACGATATAATGAATCAGAGTCTTGTAGCCACCACAGTGAATTTATGGTGCTACGTATGTGTCGTGAATAATGCTGAAGTTTCCTGGTTTTAATTAAATCTGTTCTGTTTGTGATACTGCCATGTTGCAAGAGTGCGGCAGGAGGCATTGCCCACAGGACACACCTCTGAGCCTGTGCTGTCAGTAGACACCGGTCGTGACTCTGCCTCCTCTTTGCAAGCGTTGGCTGGAGCCAGAAATAACAAGATCTCTGCTTTGTGTGTGTCTCCGTCTCTCTCCTTCTTAGCCCTACCTCTCAGGCATCTTGTGGCATCCCAAAAGTGGTATTAGATCCCTGTTGGGAAATACTACCAGTTGCAACCACATAAATAGCAAATTTTGTGGCATGGGCACGTATCCAACATGTAGCGTAATGATGTGACCGCAAGCTCATTGTCACAGTAATGGGATTCAAACCCTCCTTGTTAGAGAAGTTTAATTTAAATGTTCCCCTCCACTGGCTTTTTGGGGAGCGTTGGTCTGACTACCCAGAAGGCAGACCATCCACCTTGCTGTTGGCCTATCCACTGTAGTATCCGGGCCGCTGCAGCTGCAGACTTCTCATGGGTGAGCGTTTTGTAAATCATCTCCTCTCCGGAAGGCAGAAATTGCTGCCTCATGCTATTGCTGAACTCCCACAGGGATGCCGTCTCCCACGCAGTGGCTATTCCTTATTACTGTGCCTGGGTTGCAGAAGTGATGGACGATAGCTCCTGCGCTGCACAAGGGTTTGGTAAATGATGGTAATCACAGGGGATGCTCGTTTTCATTCCAGGTGCTTTGCAAATAGGGTTCTGGGACTGCTGCAAAACCTTTCCACAGGTTGTGACGGCAGCTCTAGTGGCAGGGAATAGAAAAAATATTGCCCATCTAAAAGAAATGAGAAGGGCGTGTAGGCAGTGACAGATCTCCGATTATAAGGACTGAAATCAAGTGTCACAGTGCCACCGCTCAGTTGGTTGTACAGGGAGCCAGGCTCTGGTCATCGTGGCTTGCTGGTGCTCTGAATCTCTCCTTTCTTGAACTTGGATGTAGTAATAGATATGGCAGGCACATTACGTGGCTTGGCAGCAGCCCAGTGTAAGATTAGCAGCAGATTTACTGGGATACCATGTCCAGCTCTAGCATTCACCTGTCCCGAGAATGAAAACCTGGGAGATGTGCAGAAAAGATGAACAAAGTCATCTGAGAACTGAGGAACCCACCACACAATGAGCTGCTATGAAAGCACCAGTCTCTTTCTTTACATATTCATGTTTAGTAAGTAAACTTGGGAGCCGCAGGCTGCCTACAGGTGGTAGAGGTGTTTGCAGGTCACAAGTTGGCCAACTGCACCCAGACTACTTACAACAGACCAGACAGCAGATCAGAGCAGTGGTGGATCCAGACTTGCGCAGGGCTCTGGCTGCTGGCAGAGCTGGGGTGAGAGGGGAGCAGAAGGGGAGGGGATGTATTTGAATTGCCTACCATAAGTGCTAATTTAAGTGTTATTCCTATATTTTTCCATTAGTTAAGAGGAAAGTGAAGATTGGCAGCACTGGCGCTAAACACTCGTTGCTCTCCACCTTGGAGAGTCACCCTCAGGCTAAATCATGCAAATATGATGCTGTCACTCCAAAAGATCCTATTTGCAAGCTCATGGTGCCTGTTTGCTAAAATATTGTCACTAAATTAAGGCACAAATTGAAGCCAAACCAGAAGTATCTTGGGTTTTCCACCGAGCATCCTTGTCCAAGAACTGGCCAGAGCCAGTAGTGTCCTCCTGTGGCTCTGGCCCTGCAGAACTGGCGCAGGACACACCGAGAGCGTTATGTTACAGGACTTCCACTGCTGTGAGATGAGAGTGGCCAGGCTCTGCCCACTTCTACTAACGAGCCTTTTATTTTTCCTTGTGTTTTTCTTTTTTTTTTTCCTGGTGTGATTTTAGGAGCACTTCTGGAGCTTGGACAAGACAGAAAACAAGATTCCACCGCAGCTTATCTTCCAGATCTGGGACAATGACAAGTTCTCTTTCGATGACTATTT